ATTGGTGTGTCAATTACTTAGTTTGGATGATTTTATTTTCTGAATGTGGTATTAGAGATGACTGTCTAAGAATGCCTCCTCCATCCCCCAAAAGTAGAAATTTTCACTTGAGACTGAAATTTTAACTAAGGCAGAGAGAAAACTTCCTTCATTTAATGCTTTTTAAGGAAAAACTGAAAGGAAAAAAATATAATGTCATTTTGGTTACCTCCCACGAGAAATTATTGATTACATATATCATCAGCATTCAAACCTCACAGTTCTGTGTGATAGGTATCATCATCCTGGTCTCAGATAAAGGAACAGGTTCACAGAGGTTAAGTAATACTCCCAAAGCTATGTAGCTGGTAATCTTCAGAGCCAAGATTTCACACTAGGTTCGTTAGAGTCTAGTCCAAGGCCAGTGTTCTTTATAACATGCCAGCTCCACAGAACTGCCAGGGTTATATAGCATGTTTCTAGGAACCATGAGACATAAAAGAGCAAAGTACTTCACTTGTTAAAATCATAACTTTCTCCATCTTTTGAAACTGATCTGCCCTTCTTTTTCTAAAGGCTCAGTAGGAGTGGACAAAATAATCAATTTACTGAGACAAACAACTAGCCAAAATTCTGAAGACAGTAGCCTTGAGCAGTTGTGGAACATGCTTGATCCTGAGAAGAGAGACCCACATGTGGACCCGGAAATTTTCCAGGCCATGATGAAAGAATGGATGGCTTACTGTGGAAACAAAGGGTAATCAGAGTCCTAGTGGGATGCGGTTTAAGGTTCTATTTTAACAATTGATTATAATTATGCTAATCTCTGTTTTCTGTGTTGATGGAAATACTGTCGTCCAGTGCTTTAGCATGCATTAGAATCACCTGAATGATGTTAAACCTGCTTGCTTAGGCCCCATCACCATGATTCAGTAGATCTTGGGTGAATCCTGATAATTTACATTCTAACAAGTTTCCGGTGATATTGATGCTGAGCTCGGACTGGACAGGCTTTGGAACCACTGCTGTCATTCATTTCCTGTGTTAGTGAGGAGCACATGTTATGTTCTCACAGAGAACTGAGCTGACATACGAATCAGGTGAATTATTGACACTCTCAAATTTCCAAATGTATTTAAATTTAATAATAGACTCCCTTTTAAGTCCAGAGGGGCTAGTAAGTGAATGTAATTGGGAATCCTAGAATATAGGGAGTCTAAAGGGAAAAAGAAAGAATAGTAGAAAAGAAAAAGAAAAAGGAGGAGAATAGCACCCACAATCTTCTCAGGTGCCCTTGGCAGATGCTGGAGATGTGTGTCTTCTTCCAAAGAAAGCTTAATTCCATTTATTTATTTATTTTTTATTTATTTATTTATTTTTAGATGGAGTTTCACTCTGTTGCCCAGGCTGGAGTGCAGTGGTGCAATCTTGGCTCACTGCAGCCACCACCTCTCAGGTTCAAGCGATTCTCCCGCCATAGCCTCCAGAGTAGCTACAATCACAAGGTGTGTGCCACCATGCCTAGCGAATTTTTGTATTTGTAGTAAAGGCAGGATTTCATCATGTTGGCCAGGCTTGTCTAGAACTCCTGACCTCAGCTGATCTGCCCACCTCAGCCTCCCAAAGTGCTGTGATTACAGGTGTGAGCCACCTACTACACCTGGGCAGGAAGCCTAATTCCTATGCCTCCTATTCAGCCACCAGTCTTCGGCTATCTGCTGATGGATGCTAGGATTTGCTTAAAGAAAATATTGACTGGGCATGGTGGCTCACACCTGTAATCCCAGCATTTTGGGAGGCCAAGGCGGCCAGTCAGCTGAGGTTGGAGACCAGCTGGGCCGACATGGTGAAACCCCATCTCTACTAAAAACACAAAAATTAGCTGGGTGTGGTGGTGTACATCTGTGATCCCAGTCACTTGGGAGGCTGAGGCGGGAGAATTGATTGAATGCAGGAGGTGGAGGTTGAAGTGAGCCTAGCTCATGCCACAGCACTCTTGCCTGGGCAACAGCGTGAGACTCAAAGAGAAAATGTCAAGAGCAAGAAATGGAAAAACATACCAGATTTCTGGTAGGATTATGATGTATAGATGACTTAAGAAAATATAACTGAAATGTTACAGGTTAATCATGAAGGCAAGATAAATATATAGAAATAAGTAATGTTAGTGTAATCAGAAACTGTAAATATAGATAATATACCATTTTACCCATTAGTTTAACAAAGATTTTAAAAAATGACTCTATCCCATGTTGTGGGCTGGGGAAAGGGTGGAGAAATAAGCCCTCCCATCTACTATTGGTAGTAATGCAAGTTGGCATAGTTTTTTTTAAGGGCAATTTAGAAATGTGTATCAGGCCCTTCAAAATATGCAGTCTTGGCCAGGTGTAGTGGCTCATGCCTATAATCTCAGCACTTTGGAAGGCCAAGGCGGAGGATCGCCTGAGGCCAGGATTTTGAGACTAGTCTGGGCAACTTAGCAAGATCCTATCGCTACAAAAAATTTAAAAATTAGCCAGGTATGGTGGTATGTGCCTATTGTCCTGGCTACTTGGGAGGCTGAGGTGAGAGAATTGCTTGAGCCGGGAGTTTGAGGCTGCAGTGGGTTGTGATAGAGGCACTACACTTCAGCCTCGGCAAGAGAGTGAAGCCCTGTCTCCCAAAAAAAAAAACAAAAAAAAAAAAAACAAAGCAGCCTCTTTGAGAAGTAATGTAACTTTAAGAAAGATAATTAATTGTAAACAGCAATATAGAAGGTAGAAGGTAGTTTATGACAGTGATAAATATAAGCAATTTAGATATTTAAAAAGAGACAGTTGGACAAATAAATTATATTACTTTCATACACTGGAATCCTAGTCATTCAAGGTAATAATATTCGATAGGAGAAATTCATATGTAATTATTTGAAATAAATAGGTCATAAATCTGTACATGCAGTACAATCCCATTTTTGGAAGAAAAAAATATGCATAGGAAAAAGTTGGAAAGAATTTATGCCAAAGTGATTATTTTTACATAATGGTTTTAATTTTTTGTTTTATGAATTTAATATTTCTAAAACATGCAAGTTTGATTGTATAATAAAAATATTAATTATAAAACAGCATGAAGATAAAAGAAAAACATTTATAATAAATATAAAGGAAAAAACATGAGAAGTGGAAATACAGAAGATAAGAACAGAAACTCAGAAATGGGGATGGGTATGAACACAGTAATAGTCAGGACGCTATGTGAGTTTTTTGTTCCCCCAACTTGTGACAGACATCTCACAATGACTGACAATGAGATGTAAACATATATTTGTGGAATCTTGTGGCTGCTCCAGAGAGAAGCTTGAGGATTTGGTGCTTAGGTTAAGTAACCAAACTTAAATGATAATATAAAGGCTCTGAAAGGAAATGGTTGAAATGTCAATGTTTTTATTTTGCAGTTCAAGCTAGAGTGTGTGTGCTGCACAGCCTGTACACAGGGTTTCCCAGATTTCAGGAGTAAAGTGCCCAAAGTAAAATTAGTCCAGGTACTATTTGGTTCTCCATGAGAAAGGGAAAATATATCCCTGTCAATGTATCCCAAAGTATTCGTTGTTCCCATATTTCCTTCACAATCCCTTAAGGCCCATGATCTTACAATCACCACTTACCACTCCAGCCTATGTCTACTTCCTAATCCAGCAAGACCCCACATCTGCTAATCATATGCTGCCTGTGTGTTTTCTTTTTCATATCAGGTAAAAGTTTATGGATGGCAGAGGTAGTGCCTAATGTACCACCTACATCAGAAACAACTTCACTAGTAACACAAATTCTTTCCTAGCACTCTAAGTACCTGGCCTAGTATTGGGCTCCAAATAGTTGTTGAATTAATATATATATATGTATATTTTAACTCAGAAAAAAATACCTAAAAAGGAAAGTACAGAGCATAAATCTAAGAAACAAAACAAACAAACAAACAAAAACAAAAACAAAATTGTGGCCTGGCAAAGAGTCCCAGCTCACTGGTTTTGCTTTTTTTTGGCTACAGGAATGGAGTGAATCATAGATTAAGCAGCACCATTGATGATTCTGTTTTTGAACAGGATGGCGTAATATCAGACGGAACAAGTATGTATGTGTTTCTTCAGGATTGTTCTGCCGTTTCCTTATGTATTGGAGAAAATGATTTTTATTTTTTTCCATAAAACTCTTGTATGTATTTCAGTGAAGGTGAGCACAGATGTAACAGATTCTACATCGGGGAGTTTTGAGGCTTTTGGTGGAGATACATCTAAAGGAGTCTTGTAAGCCTTGTTTACCCTGTGATACTTTTGCATGTGTTTCAACTTCATTTTTCTTGTTTATTTCATAAATCTACATATTTCAGTTATGATAAAGTCACTTCGCTTTTTTATTGCAGTAGAGCTAACATAATTGATTTTAAATTCTTAATCTGATTCTAATACTGCCTGTATTAGAAACAGTTTCACTAGGAAGAGAAATTCTCATATGACTAGTAAATCCATAATCACTTGCTTTCTCGTGAAATCCTTCTCCTTCATTAACTTCATGTGTTTTCTGTAGAAAAAAAGTTCCTCTTGAAGTCCAGTTATGACATTGACCTTAAGCTCTTTTGGAGATCATTTTAAAGCACTTGTTTAGTAGAATCTTTTAGGCAAAAATGAGAAAATCTCTTTTCAATGACATGTGTAAGTTTTAGATATTAAGGAGATTGATTCTGCCTCTCCCTTATTTTATCTTTGCCACTTCAGGTTTATCCATGAAAAGTGGAGTGGGCTGGGCACAGTGGCTCATGCCTGTAATCCCAGCCCTTTGGGAGGCCGAGGCGGGTGGCTGGCCTACATGGTGAAACCCCATCTCTACTAAAAATACAAAAATTAGCTGGGGGTGGTGGTACATGCCTGCAGTCTCAGCTACTCAGGAGGCTGAGGCATGAGAATGCCTTGAACCTGGAAGGTGGAGGTTGCAGTGAGACGAGATGGCGCCATTGCACGGCAGCCTGGTGACAGCCTGGCGCCATCTAAAACAAAAAAAAAAAAAAAAAAAAAAAAAAAAAAAAGAGAAAAGTGAAGTGGGAACTGTGTTTTCAATCTGAGCTAGGCCTTGGGATGAGATAGCAAAAAAAAAAGAAGGAGGCCTGGGACTCCATGAAACACACAGCCCAGACTCTTAAATTAGGATTTATGAACTGATGTCATGGCAAATGATGCTCATAAACATTGGTAAGCTATACATAACATTAGGAAAGATGAATACTGAATTGTGAGCCACAGACTACAATGATAAGACTCTAGGATTTGTTTCCAAGGTAAACCTGCTGAGATCCCTTCACTGAAAGAATATAGGCTGGGCATGATAGCTCATGCCTGTAATCCCAGCACTTTGGAAGGCTGAAGCAGGTAGATCGCTTGAGGTCAGGAGTTCAAGACCAGCCTGGCCAACATGGTGAAACCCCATCTCTACTAAAAATACAAAAATTAGCCAGGTATGGTGACACATGCCTGTAGTCGCAGCTACTCCGGAGGCTGAGGCAGGAGAATTGACTGAATTTGGAAGGCAGAGGATTGTGCCACTGCTCTCCAGCCTGGGCAACAGAGCGAGACTGTCTCAAAAAATGAAAAAAAAAAAAAAAAATCGTGTTCATTTATTTCAGGATCTCTCATGTTCCAGGCAGAAATAGGAACTCTTCAGTTTAGAAGACAAATGTTGAGAGTGAGGTGGAAAAGAATCAACAAAAACTGTAGAAGTTGATTTTACAACTGGCAAGTGATGGCTACTTGGAAATTTTGGAAAACATCTTTGATGCTATTATAATAAACATTTGAATAGCTATTTATTATACAAATATGTTTATGATGACAGATGAGGGTAAAGTAAAAATAAAATACTAACCAGAATATTTAAGCCTGGTTGGTTTAACCTTTTACCTTATTTTTATTAGAAGGAATTAGTGATGTGAAGGTTATTCTCACCTATTCTTTGACTTGCAGAGAGATGTCTGATTTGATTGCCTATGTAGCAGACCTCCAATTCAACAAGCAGAAACTGGAAGAGGAAAATAATAAGTTTAAATTGGCTTTAGAAACCTTGGAAGAAACGAACAGCCAGTTATCAGAGGACTGTACCGAACTGCACCGTCAGGTAAAAAGGTGAGCCACAGTGGGGTCCAGCGTGCTGGGAACTTTCAGTTCTTTTTTCTTTTTAAAAAAACCTCTTTAAAATTGAGATTCATATAGCATAAAATTCTTTCTCTTAAAATATACAATACAGTGTTTTTAGAGTATATTCTCTGGCTGAGCATGGTAGCTCATGCCTATAATCTCAGCACTTGGGGAGACTGAGGCAAGTGGATCACTTGAGGTCAGGAGTTTGAGACCAGCCTGGCCAACATGGCGAAACTCCATCTCTACTAAAAATACAAAAATTAGCTGAGCATGGTGGCACGAGCCTGTAATTCCAGCTACTCTGGAGGCTGAGGCAAAAGAATCTCTTAAACCCAGGAGGCAGAGGTTGCAGTGGGCCAAGATCATACCACTGCACTTCAGACAGCAAGACTCTGTCTCAGAAAAAAAAAAAAAAAAAAAAAAAAAAAAAAAATAAGGTAAAAAAAAAAAAAAAAAAAAAAAAAAAAAAGAATATTCTCAAGGTTGTGCAATCATCACCGTTACCAATTCCAGGATATTTTTATCACTCCAAAAAGAAACTCTATACTTCTCAGCAGTCACTCTCCATTTCCTCACTCCTTAGCCTCTGGCAACCTCTATTCTACTTTCTGTCTATAGATTAGCCTATTCTAGACATTACATATAAAGTGAATCATACAAAATGTGACCCTTTTTGTATGGCTTATTTCACTAAGGATAATGTTTTTAAGATTCATCCATGTTGTAGCATGTATTGCTACCTCATTTCTTTTCATGGCTGAATAATATTCCATTGCATAGATATATCAGATTTTGTTTATTCTTCAGATGATGGACATTTGGGGTGTTTCTACTTTTTGGCTATTAGAAATAAAGCTGCTATGAACATTTGTGCATGAGTTTTTGAGTGGATTTCTTCCTTCCTTCCTTTCTTCCTTCCTTTCTTCTTTCCTTTCTTTTCCTTCTTTTTTTGAGACAGGGCCTCACTTTGTCATCCAGGCTGGAGTGCAGCAGCATGATCACCACTCACTGCATGCATCCTCCATCTCCTGGGCTCAAGTGATCATCTGGCCTCACCGTCCCACGTAGCTGGGACTACTGGAGCACACCACCATGACTAGCTAATTTTTGTGTTTTTCTAGGGACAAGATCTCGCCACGTTTCCTAGGTTGGTATTGAACTCCTGGTCTCAAGTAATCTGCTCATGTCAGCCTCCCAAAGTGCTGGGATTACAGGAGTGAGCCCCCATGCCCAGCCATATGTTTCACTAAAGCATTCTCATCCTCAAAATCTTTGACCTCGTTCAGTCCAGTCCCTAAACTAATCTTTAAAAGAAGTGTTTACCTCAAGTCCTTTTCATTTCACAGTTGGCTTATTATTTAACTGAAATACAAAAATTTAAAGTTTATTTAACAAAACTGCTTTGGATGAATATATTGGTCAGGATTTTTGGTTGCAAGCACTGGAATCTAACTCTGGTTAAATGAGCAGTCATATCAGAAAGGAATTAAGTAACTCACATAATGGACAGAAGGGCTGAAGAATCCAGATGGGCAGTCAGAATGCCACTGTCAACAAAATTAAGCCACGTGTCTTTCTCTTTTCTCCTTCCCCTAATCCTTTCTGAAGTCTGTTTCCTTTGGGTTCCCACACCTATTTTAGATATTGTACAGTTGTCTCATCGTAGTGTAATTTGGCTTCTGTATTAACTGTTGAGGCAGAAGAGTTCCCTTGAACCCCTCCTGGGACTTGCAACAGGGGTATCTTGTTTCTTCAGCTGCCATGCTGAAACCCCTGGCAGGAGGGAGAGCATGCAGGTAAGCAGGTGTAGGAGCTGGATGAGTGCCTTTGGATGCCAGCAAGAGCAAACCCTGTACCAGCCTGTGTCAGCATCTAGGGATTGCCCACAACCTCTGGAGCCCCAGAGGACATGTGTTACAAGCAATACTCTTTTAGCATTTAACATCTGTGGATGGCTAAGTGTTAAACCAGCTCAGTGGAGGGTCAGGGTGACAGCCTTTTATACCCTGCCCTCTTGGTACCCAGGTTCTTCTCCAGACTGCAGGAAGAATCAGGTCACATAGACTTGAAGGATGGTGAATGTGGAGATTGTATTGAATGGTGGAAGTGGCTCTCAGTGGGATGGGGAGATAGAAAGGGGATGGAGTAGAAAGATAATCTTCCCCAGTTCAGCTGTCCCAGCCAAACTCCTCTCTGACAGTCCCTGGCCAAACTTCTCTCTGACCTTAGTCTCTGATGTCCAGCTGCCTCTTCTTCTCTTGATGTTCAGAGCTTCTTCTCTTCTCTCCTTCTCTGCCACACTGTTCTGCTCCTCTGCCAGTGGAGCTTGGGGTTTTTACAAGCACAGGATAGGGGGTGCAGCAGGCCAAAAGACAACATTCAGGAGGGAAAATGGGGATGTGAAGTTCTTATTTAGGGCTGTGGGTCCAGGCTTGAGGGTGGAACCCTTGCCAGGGACCCTGCCCTTTTCTACCTAGTATTTCCCTGCCTTTTGTTCATAACACTGTGACCTCCTTGATGGGAAGAACTATGTCAAATACATCCTGTTTAGCCTAATGCTTAGTAGAATATCTACCATAGAACAGCACTACCTTCCTTCCAGTTGCCTACAAACCAAAAACCCTTATCTCTTTTGATTCTTAGCATACTGTGTTGTCATTATGATTGTCTATTTATCCCACTAGGCTATAAACTCCAGGTGAGTACAGTTCTCTGGATTCAGTCATTTTTGCCTTCTTCAGTGCCTAGTATGGTACCTGGGGCAGGTTTAGTGCTCAACTAGTATTTGTTGAATGATCAATGTAATTTCTTAGTAAGGAGAAAATTTTATCTGCTTTGAAGCCTTTGTTCCTAAGGGAACGGTCTATAATCTAATGAGAGCTACAGATAGTTAATTTCATGATATGGATTACCACAATTCATTTAATCAGTTCCCTATTGGTGAATGTTTAGGTTTTCTTCCAATGCTCTGTTATAATCAACAGTATGATAAACTTCTTTAAAGAATATGTCGTATAGAGACTTGGTAATTATTTCTTTGTTTAGTTGTCATCTCCCTCCATAGTACGTAAGCTCTATAAAACCAAGGACCATGTCCCTGTTGTTCACCATTGTAGCCTGTAGAGCACCTAGAACATTGGGTATTATTCAATAAATACTTATGGAACTGCATTAACTAACATTACATCTTCTTAGTAGGGAGAAAGAACCAGGTGATTCAGCCAGTGATGGATTTTTAAAGGGATCCTCTAAATCTTAGCTTCAGGAATATGTTTGTCTGTTTTCCCTCTAATCTCCATTCCCCACTCCCCACTTTCTCCAAATTCCTTCCTTTTCCAAGGACTGAAAGATCATGGGTATATTTTTACTATTGCGGGCATCTGGTTTAAGCCTTTAGTGGTTTTCAACTTGGGTCCAAAATAGTCCTTGGCTGTTCTTAGTATCTTTGACGGTTATATTTGAGGTTTTGCTCATGGCCTTCTCCCCCACCCCCACAGTGCCCACCAGGCTATTATGAGAACAAATCTGTTAAAAGAAGAACTGGAGGAACTGAAACTTAGTGTGAATGCTTCAGAAGAGCAGAAGTGCATGATCGTAGCCCAGAGCAAACAATTAGTAAGTCATCTATTATAGTACTTTGAATTTGACATAAGTTTACATAACTGAAATCTGTAAGAGGACTTATCTTACGGCAAATATCAGAAGTCAATAGGCTGATGAATGAATTGGTAACACTTTAGAAAAGTAAAGGCAGGTAGGATTTTTTTTTTTTTTTAATCTGTGTTTTCCTTTTCTTTCTTCTACTTTTGTTTCTTTACCAATTTTTGAGACAGAATCTTGCTCTGTTGCCCTGCAGTGGCAGGATCATGCCTTATTGCAGCCTTGACCTCCCAGGCTCAAGCAATCCTCTCACTTCAGCCTCCCAAAGTGTTGGGATTATCGGCATAACCCACTGTGCTTGGCCTCCTTTTCAATCAAGGTTTAAATTTTTTACGTTTCTCAGTCACTTTCACAATAATTTGTAAAAATCCAGAAAATATCTGGAATGCCTCCTAAATTCGATAGAATTCAAAAATATCTGATAGTAAAAACCACTTGAGGGGCTGGGCGCGGTAGCTCATGCCTGTAATCCCAGCACTTTGGGAGGCCGAGTTGGGCAGATCACAAGGTCAAGAGATTGAGACCATCGTGGCCAACATGGTGAAACCCCGTCTCTACTAAAATACAAAAATTAGCTGGGCATGGTGGCGTGCGCCTGTAGTCCCAGCTGCTGGGGAGGCTGAGGCAGGAGAATTGCTTGAACCCAGGAGGTGGAGGTTGCAGTGAGCCAAGATTATGCCATTGCACTCCAGCCTGGTGCCTGGC